TTATTCTATATTATTAATATTTTCCATTGCATAGATTCAGGTGTCTTATCATCTATTATTATTATAATGATGATATTGGTTTTTATTGTTAGTGTTATTTATTATTCATTATCATTATTATTATTATTATTATATTATTATTATTATTATTATTATTATTATTATTATTATTATTATTATTATTATTATTATTATTATTATTATTTTGAATGTTATTACTATTGTGAATATTGTTATTGTTATTTATATAATTCTCATTGTTATTATTGTTACTATTATTAGTGTTTTTATTATTATTGTTATTATTATTATTTTTTTTTATTTTATTATTATTATTATTATTATTATTATTATTATTATTATTATTATTATTATCATTATTGTTATTGATGTAATCATCATCACTATCATCATCATTATCATCATGTTGTTACTTTATCATTATTTTTTATCCCTATCATTATCATTATTGCCATTATTAGTATTATAAATATTATCATCACTAATATTATGATAACGATGACAATGATGATGATGAAAATAATGATGGTTATCATTGTTATCATTATTGTTATTGCTATAATTATTATCATTATTATGATAAGTATTATCATAGTTATTATTATCATTGTTATTATTTAATATTATCAATGATATAGTAAGATATATTTGATAACGATGAATGACATACCTAATAAAAGTAATAATAACGATATAACTGATGACAATGACGATAAACATAATGATAAAAACACGAAAAACAATTTATAAATTCCCTTCAAAATCCATTTTAAAAAATTATTCATACCTTTTATTTAAAACGATGTTACAAATTTCCTCCATAATCATTTTTTTTCTTTTATTCATTCCTCCCTTTTTTTTTTGGCGAGACTCTCCTCCAAGCTCTCATGACAGTCCATGACGGCTGTATAGAGAACGCGGGCAAAGTGCATGACTCGACTGCCGTTCTCATGGCAGTAATTACAAAGGTCATGCATAGTGTACACTTACCTTTTCTCAAGTGCAAATGTAGAATCGTCATGCACTTGGAGTGGGGGGTAAGGGAGGAGGGTGGGGAGGGTGAGGAGGTTG